TGATTACTGGTCACTGAAGAGAAACCAAATCAGCACTTTGGTTTGAATCATAATTTGGTCCTTCGAGCCGGTTGCTCAAGGAATCCAGGTTGCTTCTGTATACACCACCGTAAATTTCGACTATCAATTGGCGTCTTACTTGGAGGCGCACAAGTATCTGGAATTACATAATCTTCATTGAAGACACACAAGAGTGTCTGTAATCGCATCATCGTGATTGGGGGCACGAGATTGTGTCACAAGCAGCATTACATCGTTTGGAGGCACACAAGGGTGACTCAAGTTGCAACATCTTATTTGGAGACACACAAGGGTGTCTGAAATTGCAACACAAATTGGAGACTCGTTCGGAGTAATAAGCACAATTTTCGGAGTACTATTCAAGACATCTGGCAGCAATTGTATGTTGCAGTCACAATAGCGGTCGTACATTGACGACAACTGACATTTGCCACAAGTAGAACATAGTAGAAACGTCAACATAAGTAAAAAACAACCACCACAAAATGGATTCATTTAAAAAACAACGTCAAGTAATCAAAAGCAGTCTGACACGAATTCAAAGTATTTGTGCAGATACAAATACGACAATTGACGATTTAAAAGTGCGTATAGAGCGCGCTGAAGAATTATTCAAGCAATACGGCGATATTCAGAATGAAATCGATCTTCTTACAACAACGGCTAGCGAGCTTGAGCAAGAGGACGAGTATCGGGCCGCAATTGAAGAAAAGTATTTTACAATTAAAGCAAGCTATTCACGTGCGCAAGTAGAGGATGGTAATGCGACAATTATCGAGAATCAGCAATCTCCAAGAGATATTTCGACAGCAATGCAAGCATTAATGGAGCATCAGGGCACCATGGGCGCGTTAATTGAACGCATTTCACAAAACGTAAGCAGTGATGGTAGATCTTCGTCATCACCAGCCAACACGATAAACAATTTGCAACAGCTGCCACAACAAGAGCTTCGATTGCCACGAATACAAATTCCTGACTTCGATGGCAAGTGCATCGAGTGGATGCGATTCCGCGATCTATTCGAAGCCATGGTTCACAACAAAACTAACATTTCAAATGTTGAGAAATTGGAATATTTGCAAACGAAGGTAAAGGGTGATGCACTGTCACTCATAAAGCATATGCAACCAGCAAATGCAAATTATGAAATCGCTTGGCAACTATTGAAGAAAAAATATGACAAACCTGACAATATAAAAAAGGCTTATTTTGAAATTTTGTTTGATCAACCTGTGATGAAAATTTCATCAGTTTCTGAAGCAAAACGTTTGTATAACACAACCAACGAAACCATAAACGCACTAAGGGTGCTCAAAGAGCCAGTAGAGCACTGGGATTCAATTTTACTTTTTATACTTGAGAAAAAACTAGATTCTGAAACTCATACTTTGTGGTATCGAGATAGAAAGTCGGACGAATCGACAACTATACAACATTTTTTAAATTTTTTGGAAAAGCGTGTATTTGAACTCGAAAATACATCTAAGGGCACAAACCACCAATCACATCAGAGTTACAATAAGCAAAAACAATCACGCACCTTTACTACTGTTATGCAGGCATGCCCTGTTTGTTCTTCGAATCATCCACTATACAACTGCAGTAAATTTAAGGAACTCAACGTAGAAGCAAGGCGAAAGGTTGTCCAGCAAGGCAACATGTGTTTTAATTGTTTGCAAGCAAATCATCAGGCTGTGAATTGCAAACGATCATTTTGTCGTAAATGCAACGGTAAGCACAACACGCTTCTGCACTTAGATCGGTCGTCGACAGAGAAGCAACAAACAAGTGCATCTCAACCACCAGTACGAAGTGAAGAATCTACAAGCATTAGTGTGAACAGTTTGCAATCAAGTCCACAGTCAATCACGTTGCTCCCAACTGCTTTGGTGATGGTTGAGGATGCGACTGGTTCACTGCAGCAATGTCGCGCCTTGCTGGATTCAGGATCACAAGGCACACTTATTTCTGCAGCATGCGTGCAACGTCTTCAACTAAAACCCAAATACGACAACACTATTCTCTATGGAGTAGGAGCAACGGATGGAAGTCGCTCAAAAGGAAAAGTGTACATAAGCATTCATGCACTTCAAGGCAAGACCATCTCAACAGAGGGACTTTGTTTATCAAATCTAACACGGAACTTACCTTCATATAAGGTCTCCAGCCAGACCACAGAGTTTTTTAAGCATTTGGAATTGGCTGACCCGTACTACGATAAGCCAGGTCGCATTGACCTTATTCTCGGAGCAGATGTTCTAGCCGATTGCATCTTACCAAGCATTATACCGCACCCCAGTGGCTCACCATCGGCAATGCACACAATTTTTGGATGGGTTTTGATCGGTAGGCTGTCATCCGAGAACGAACAACATATCATTACCGCGCATACACTCATGGAGATTAGCCAACAGCTGCAACAATTCTGGGAGATTGAGGACGTTAAGGGCCCGCTTCAGCATCTCACCCCTGATGAGTTAGCAGCTGAAAATCATTATAAACAATTTGTTAAGCGAGACAAGTCTGGAAGATATGTAGTTAAACTTCCATTGAAAAACGAACCGCAACTCGGTGAGTCACGTACCAACGCTCTAAAACGTTTTTTAGCTATGGAACGACGTTTTCATAATAATGCTCAGCTCAAGCAAGAATACCAAAAATTTATGTTCGATTATATCACGTTGGGCCACATGGAGCCGGCTGGTAATTTCGATCCAAAACGTACGTATTTTTTACCGCATCACGCAGTGCTAAAGCCTAACAGCACAACAACTAAGCTGAGGGTTGTTTTTGATGGGTCATGTAGGACTACAAATGGACTCTCGCTCAACGACCAGTTGCTCGTGGGACACACAATTCAGAGAGATCTATTTGACATTATTTTAAATTTTCGCAAGTACAAGTTGGGATTTACAGGGGATATAGAGAAGATGTATCGCCAGATCTTGGTGGACCCTGACGACCAATCACTGCAGCGTATACTTTGGCGGAGGTCAAACGATGAACCCATAAAAGAATATAATCTCAAGACTGTAACCTATGGAACGTCAGCTGCGCCATTCCTCGCAACTAGAACCTTGAAGCAAATCGCCAATGACAACGCCAGTGCACATCCGAAAGCATCTGAAGCAATTTCACAGTATTTCTACGTAGACGATTTTATGGCAAGCGCTACCGACGAAGCTACTGCGATTCAGCTTAAAGAAGAGATTTGCGCCCTGTTGTTTGATGCTGGGTTACATCTGCGCAAGTGGTCTTCAAATTCAGCAACCTTCTTGGAAAGTATTCCAAGTGAGGATCGAGAGGTTCAATCAGATACCTGTATAGACTCTACATGCACAGTAAAGACACTGGGACTCTTATGGGATACATCGACCGATAGTTTTAAGCGTTTACAGCGTTTGTTTGCCATCAAACCAACATACAACCAAGCGAAGTGTTTTATCGGATTTAGCTAGGGTATTTGATCCCATCGGATGGTTGTCGCCAGTGGTCATATCAATGAAGATATTCATGCAAAAACTGTGGTTGAGAGGAATAGGATGGGACGAGGCATTACCGCACGACCTTTACACTCAATGGGTTGAGTATCGAGAAAGCATCAACCGCATATTACAGTTACATATTCCCCGTTGGATACGTTACTCCAATGAGAAGCTCGTACAACTACATGGATTTGCAGACTCCTCGGAGCTGGCATACGCAGCAACTATATACATTAGAGTTCACCATGAAAATGGGCAAATATCAACAAATTTAATAGCTGCCAAGACGCGTGTGGCTCCAGTTAAACAAATCACACTACCAAGGCTTGAGCTATGTGGTTCACATCTTATGACGAAATTAATGACTAAAGTACAAAATGCGCTGGAATTGTCAAAGGCTGAAACCTTTGGATGGACGGATTCCACAAAAGTGTTGGCATGGTTAAGGGATCATCCTCGCCGTTGTTAAACATTCATAGCGAATCGAACTGCGGAAATATTAAAAGTTGTTCCGTCTGAGCGTTGGAGACACATTCCTTCTCAGCACAATCCTGCAGATCTTGCCATAAGGGGATTGTGTCCTCAAGAACTTCTATCTAACGACATTTGGTGGCATGGTCCAGGTGAACTAAAAGACATTCCAGAGACGTGTCACTTAGTGCCTCCTCTGGAAGATGACATAACGCAGGAAGAACGGAAAAGCACGGTTGCACTTGCAAGCGTAACAACTGAGGTTTCGGTGATAGAGCGCTACTCCTGTTATACACGACTGCTGCGAATCACATCACTTCTTTTGCGATTTGTCAACAACTGCAAAGCTAAGTGCATTAATAGCAAAGGTAATAATCAATCCATTACAACCAGTGAACTACGCACGGCGCATGATGTCCTGGTTAGATCAGCGCAAGCAGGATCTTACACATTCGAGTTACGAACTATCGGTCAAGGTAGGCAGTTACCATCTTCACATAAGTTGGCACCACTTGCTCCATTTATTGACGAACAAGGATTGCTCCGCGTAGGTGGCAGAGTTACCAACGCGAAAATCAATTATAATCAGAAACATCCATTCATAATGGACAAAACTCACCCGTTAACTAAACTAATTGTACGTGACTATCACATACGTTACTTGCATGCCGGACATAGGCAATTACATTATCTCTTGGCTCTTAAGTACTAGATTCCAGGAGTCACATATGTTATCAAGCAGTGCATCTTTAAATGTACAGTATGCATGAGACACCGCGGCATTTCCTACCAACAACAAATGGGTGACATACCAAAATATCGTTTGGATCCAGGATCACCTTTCCTCAACACGGGGATCGATTTTGCTGGGCCGATACGGGTACGTTCTTGGAAGGGACGTGGCTCTAAACTGTATAAATGCTGGATAGCACTTTTTATTTGCTTGACCACCAAGGCAATACATATTGAGCTGGTGACTGAATTGTCTACAGCGGCTTTCATTGCATCACTACGAAGATTCACTGCGCGGCGCGGAAAACCATTACATATATTCTCAGACAATGGTACCAACTTTGTGGGTGCTAATCAACATTTTCGGGAACTATACCAATACATAAATGATTCGACAACATAGGAAACCATTTCAAGAGCGTCAGCTGAGCAAGAAATTCAGTGGCATTTCTCCCCACCTTCAGTACCCCACTTCGGCGGCGTATGGGAAGCAGGCGTCAAGTCAGTCAAGTATCACTTAAAACGAACATTGGCTGATGCGTCCGTTACATATGAGGAGTTGAACACTATTCTCTGTCAAATTGAAGGATGTCTCAACTCACGCCCACTATGTACCAAATTTGAAGGCGATATCGATCCCTTGACTCCAGCACATTTTCTGATTATGCGTCCGATGACTTCTCTGCCAGACAAAAACCTCCTCGACCTAAAGGAAAATGGAGTAAATCGTTACCTTCAGAAGCTGACACAGCATTTTTGGAAAAGGTGGTCAATCGAATATGTAATACAATTGCAACAACGTCCAAAATGGTCTCAACGTTTGAGTAATCTAGAGATCAACGATGTGGTTATCATAAAGGACGACAACCTACCACCAACCCAATGGTCCATTGGAAAGATCTCAGAAGTGCATCCAGGATCCGATGGTTTAGTGCGAGTGGCGTCTGTAGACACCTTTAAAGGGACCCTAAAAAGACCCATTGTCAAACTTTGCCCACTGTTCATCGATATTTAAAAGCGGATGCTTTCAAGAGGGCCGGAATGTTGATGATACTATTTAAAATCACCCCTGGTGACTTGCCATTTCTGACATTTATATTTTTCATATTTTACTCGCAACCAACTTCACTT